TATGTGGCTCAAATATTCATACAAATGCAGTATTGCCATACAAGAAATGCAAACGATAAACAGTTTGGCTGAATTCTTCAAAGCCTATGTAGCGGAAAAATTGCACTAATGTTACTTGGCTTCAAATACTTTAAGAAGCATCTTTACTTAATATGTAGATCAAATTTGATATGGCAAGAAAAAGCGGTACTTTGAAATTTTTCTCACAAATAACACCCGCACGACATTCTGCAAAATTCTGAAGGTAGCCACGTGACCACTACTTTTTTCTCTTCAAAACATTTCTGCAAATAACTATTTTCAGAAGAGTAAATTACCATCATTTTTAAACTATACATCTGTGATGGTCGCCAGGCAGTATGGTTTGTATGTTTGGTGTAGAATAGCCCAGTGCGAAAAACAACAAATGGCTGGGCATCCTTTGACGCTCGGGCAATTTCGAAAGCATTTGTTTGTTAGCAGCAATTCAGTTAAGCCCTTGTCTTTATGCTTCCAGAAACAAAACACAAGTAACCAAAGTAGTCCTAAGAGTCATGTAGTCTCGCTGTTCCAAGGCTTGTGGAGCCTAATTTAGTGCAAGCTTCACCATTTTTAAAAAATTCAGATTCAACCAACAGGTTTTGGAGGCACAGTGCATTTTCAGCTAACTTGTTTCACACCAGTTACTTAGATAAAAAGTGGAAAGTAGAGGTAAAAATACCATTTTAAAGGCATTGTAGGTAATAACAAAAAGGACTGCTTTCTTTTTTGTGTGGTGCTTTGCCTGAACGCTGTGCTTTTTGTGGTATAGTTCATTGTCTAGTGAACATAGGCCTTAAAAACTAACGTTAGCCATGTTGAGGTCGATTTCTTGGTATAGTCATAGTAGCCATACTAAAAATTATGACTTCAACTTGATTGTTCTTTGAAGATTTTTTCCTTGCATAATGATATTTGAGAGTCTTAGTCAATTTTGTTATAAGAAAACGTGATGTCATAATAGGGTCACTTTTTGTAGAGTCGTTCAGTTCTACCTTACCTTTTACATTCCTAATAGAGCAGTTATTTTCAATATCGGCATTTAAAATGGAATATGAGCATGCTGTATGTAGTAAGGTGTAAGCACTTACAGATAGCACATGCACCCAACTTTTCTTTTGGCAGTTTATTTCTGTTATTCTTGATTTATATGTGGGGTTTCACGTCCGAAAACCACTATATGATTATGAGAGACGCCGTAGTGGAGAGCACTGGAAACTTCGACCACTTGGGGTTCTTTAACGTACACCCAAATCTGAGCATACGTGCCTACAGCATTTCTGCCTCCATCGGAAATGGAGCCGGGGTTTGATACCGCGACATGCGGGTCAGCAGCCGAATTTCTTTTACTCTTGCTTCCTTATATTTGTGCAGTTCGGTTATAGTTATCTGGCTTCCACAGATTTTTAATGGCACCTGCCTGGTCCTGCTTCCTTTCTTGGTGATTTTAACCTTCATAAGTTGCATAGGTTTAACTCTCAAAATTGTTCAAGATGCCAATTTTGTGCACAACCTGTATAGTATAAAGGCAGCAGATGTACATGCACACACTATTAATGTACATTAAGAGCTTTCACTTGCAGTTCCTAAAGTTTTACTGTGCTATGGCACAACTGTACTACGTCGTATCTGAGCACTGTACTATGGCCCTGTACACCTTTCCAAAAGATAAGAAAAGGCGCGCGAATATGACGAAATTGTAAAAACAGGCTGCTGTCGCTGCCTTTATTGGACCTTTACTAACTTCTTGCTATCTTTTGACTACTCAGGTAAGGAAAAACTTATGAGGGGGAGCTGTTGGAAACTGTTTCGTAGAATTACCAAATTTTTGCGATTGACCTGTTAAATACGCTTTCAATCAATAACTGTTGCAATAAGTTATTGTCTGGATGACGTTGAAAACCAGACAAAGAAATGATCAATAAAATTAAAAACCAGAATTTTCTTTTATTTAAACTACAGACCCCGGACATGGGTGCATCTTTTTCGCTTTTCTTAAAGCGTAGAAGCTAAAATACAAATATACGGGTTGAATAACGTAGATATTTTAATATACCTATAAGTTCCAATAAAGGCTAGAAGACGACTAAAACAACATTTCATTTCAGCAATGAGAATATGCTGCAAGACACAGGGCATTCTCATATTATGAGGGGAAGGTGGAGATGGATCTTGATAGTCACACGATCCTCTTTTCCCGTGAGCGCGCATTTATGAAAACGAGAACTTTGGGATGAATCTAAATTAATGAAGCAAATGAAGCACTTTAGAAGGACCTCTATTTGTTTTTTCAGCATGTCCTTGCGCGAGCACAAGCTTTTTGGAACTATGTTAGCTCAATGCGAGAGTTAGTATAATTGAAGTGCCCGAGAACCAAGAGGAATCACATTTTGTATTAGGTTTTCAGCAGTGTTTGTCCAAACAATAACACCAGCGATTAGCTCTTGTCAATGTCCGTTACCTACGGAGGGCGAGGGGTGGTGAAGAGGATTGCTATAGCACTGATGAAGTTACTGACTTCAATCATCCTGGTATTACTTCAGTCTCGCAATAATTCTGTCTGTCTTTTTCAATATACAACGGCTAGAAGAATAGCAACACTTACGCAATAAAAAGCATCAAGCAAGTTTGCAGCGAAATATAACAAGTCAGGTCCACAAAACTGTACAACATTCTGCAAGTAATTGCTACCATGCTACGTTGGTGTTGGAAGGCCTCTAGCGTATAATACCTACAACCATTAGCACAGGGATGTACATTTACTATCTTTTATTTTTCATATGCCGAGCTAGCTCAGCAATTATCTTGATTGATTGATTAATTTGTTGGGTTTAACGTTCCAAAACCACCATATGATTATGAGAGACGCCGTAGTAGAGGGCTCCGGAAATTTCGACCACCTAGGGTTCTTTAACGTGCAACCAAATCTGAGCACACGGGCCTACAACATTTCCGCCTCCATCGGAAATGCAGCCACCGCAGCAGGGATTCGATCCTATGATCTGCGGGTCAGCAGCCGAGTACCTTAGCCACTAGACCACCACGGCGGGGCAGCAATTATCTTGTGGCACTGGTAAGGGGAGCACGTGTGCTTTAATACTGACCGTGGCGGCCGTATTTTGATGAAAGTGAAATGCGCAAACACATGTGTTTCCAGATTTAGCTGGATGTGAAGAAATTTCTGGTGGCCACTAACTCCAGGGGTACCTGCTACTGAGCGCCTCATATATGACATGTTTTCACGCTGTAATACCTTCAAAAAAAAAGATTAGTGCGAGCTGTTCGCAACCCATGTAGGCCTCCCTTAAATTTCATTGAGGCTATTATAGTAGGTTTTATTGCCCAGTTTCAACTCTCATCACCCGGTACCCAGAGTAGCATGTCAGGTGAAAAGCCATGCAAATTTCTCCAGTTCTACATAAAATATTTCGCCCTCTCTATTATAACTCTTGTATATTAGACCTTGTTGAGGCAGTATTACGGAAATTAGACATAACAAGTTGTCTCGTTTCCCAAATTTGCTACATTAAGAGTCGAAGGCTGCATTACCTCGCACACCTTATCTCAATACAGGCACATAACCTATAGTACTCATCCTAACGCCTACCTTCTCAATAGTCCCTGCTTCATTTTCCAGAATTATGGCTATAGGTACACTAGGAACTGTTTATTAATTCTACATGTCACGGGGTGTCTTCGCTGTGTATGAGGGTTTTCTCAGTAATGGCATACGGTGTATAATTTTCTGATGTTTCATTGCATTGATGATGGTCACCAATTAGATTGTTACAAGAACGGGCAATTTGTGAGGCAGAATGATTTCAGTCACTATGTTTTTTTGTGCATGAATAGTTATAGTTTGCTAGTAGGCAACGAGAAAAGTAACTGCCACTGATTGTGACTGTAATGGTTACTAACCTTGTTGGTATTACCTGGAAGTACTACCAGAGTAGTAACTTTATTACAAGTAGTTACTAAACCAAATTTAATTAGTCATCGTCATGAACACTCTCATCCAGTGTTAGTCCACTGTAAGATGAAGGGGTCTCCAAGTGATCTACATTTTATCATATATCCTGTGCCAGTGAATTCCTATTAAAGGCTTTGAACTTCCTGATATTGTCACGTTTCTCATCCCTTGGTAACCCTTCTGTTGCACTCACTGTTGACCTTGTCTGTTCTACCCATTAAGTGACCACTTTTTGTCGCTTGGTGTCAGCTAGGGTATCTGCAGCTCCTGCGTGTTCTCTTACCGATTCTGCCCTTCTCCCATATCTCAATGCTATTCCTACCATTCTACTTCACATTGCAAGCTGCCTGGTCCTCTGTTTTTGCCTATGTTGCGTTCCTAATCTTCATACTTCGTAACTCGCAGTATCCAGTAGCTGCATACTTTTCGCTTGAGAGATAGAGACATAGTTTCTGACATTTTTTTGGTAGTGCCTGCCAAATGTGCTTCATCCCATTTGCAATCGTCAGTAATTTTTTGCGATTATATTGCATTCTTGGTAGTTGTTCTAGGTATAGATATTCTTGTATGCACCCTAATGTACGGTTTACGACCTTAACTTCTTTCTGTTTCACCAGGTCATTCAACATTATCTTTTCTTTTCATTACATTCGAATTAGGGTTACTTTATTACTCTCTTGGTTTATTTTGTCAAAGAAGTTGGTACGTATTACAATTTTCGAGACTGTATGCCATCCTCATGAACTTACCAAAAACTCTGGAAGTAATGGTGATCTGTGATTACGCCGGTAAAATGTTTAGTGAGCGAAGCTTCATGGTCACATGCTTGTGAACAAAGAAATGTGCCTGTCGAAGTTTAAGATGTAGTTTAAGTGTTCTCACGGTGTATGAAAATATGATAAGTCAAAGAGCATTCGAAAGCGACCATCTAGCTTCTATATTATGATGAGACTTTATCTTTGGTAATCAGACACCAATCAGAAAATTGAGTATCCTCTACCGTTTGTTCCAGAAAACGATGACTCTAAAATCAAGCTGAAAAGAATGGCCGATTCTATGACGAGAACTTTCCACGCTCAACTAGCATCGCTTTCGACAGCGCAGCGAAAACGAGCCCTGGCCGCTATAGAGAACATTGCCACTAAACTGTCCGACGAAGACAGCGACGAATACTTCGTCTGGTCCATTATTATGGCTGGAGTAACCGCTATGATAACAAAAGGAGCCGGGATAGCCTTGGGCGCCGCTCTTGGTTGAAATATTTTTGCCTAGATTGTGTGACTGTACTTTCATTCAATGTAGCATTAAACGGCAATATAATAGCACATGGCTTCGACGTACAACAATGAAAATGTGTCGTTGAAGTTGATGAGCAGCACTGCACACGCATTCTCATAAATAAAAGAAAATGTGATAGCTGCTTCAGATGTGAATTCTCGGAGTAGCTTCACTTTTAAGGCAACCACCGTACTTTCACAAGCATGAGTGACGCAAATCGAATGATTCAGAAGAGAAGGGTTGTGCTAGTTTTCTGTGTACATCTAGTTCCTTTTCTTCTGTATTTCAGTAGCGTATTTGTTTCAGTTTGGCTTATAATTTGTCTTATCAACCTGCTGCATTCATAGAGGTCCTTCGAATATTTTGTCTTGTGCGTCTAGAGGACACTTATGCCATGAAAAGCGCGCGTTGTTTTTATCTAAAATGGTGCTGTGAATTAGCTGATAAGAATGACAATGGCACGGAAAGATACCAACACGGGGACATGCTGATTAAGTACAGGTGTCTCTCATGCCCCGGAAAGGTGAACTCTGAGCTAATCAGAATGAAGCATTATCACACATTCAAGGAAAGCTGCGGCTTTCTGAGCAGTCTCTAGAAAGCAAACTGGCAACGTTTTTGCTTTTTTTTTGTCAACGACATGTCAAGTGATATTTATTACTACACAACTCAGTTTCATTGAATGGCTAGAATAGTATGGAAGGAGGTGCGAAAGTTTCTGAGAAACTGACTGGGTGACCTCTTATGGAGACGTGAGTGGGGCAATTACAAAAACACAGCTAAAAATGCAAACTTTTGAGCAGTGACTAACGTGCCTAATTTGACAACATAATAATTGCATTACATAGTGCTAATACGTTTGAAAAAAATGGACAGAAAATAATAGCAGCTTTGCCGTGGTTCAGGGAGCCGATAATGGCAATTTCACGAAATGGTTTTGATGCCGTCATATTGCGCTATAGACTTGCCATCGAGTGCCGTTAAGAGCAAAGCGAACGTACTACGGTAGACAGAGTCGCACCCCTCCCCCCCTTGAAATGTTCTTTTGGCCATGGCCTACCAAGCGAAAAGGGACGTTTGACCACATCGGATGGGCAAATTACTTTGAACTTGCATCGCGATAGCTTACAGGGTACTCAGGCAAAAAGTATTAGAAATTCAAATATAAGGTACTACCACAACAACTGTCCAGATAATATATTTGCCATAGGTATGTTAAGATAGTTCTACACATATGTAAATTTTTATTATATCCCCCTGGGATGTAGTAGCTAACGGCTTCGCACCAAAAGGTCTGCCTAAAAAACGCAGCATATGCGCGGAGTGCATGAGCGGGGTGAAGAGTCCGTCCGTCCGTTCGTTCTTAAGTCCGTCCATCCGTGCTTCTATCTGTGCGACCGTCTGTGCTTCCATCCATCCATCCGTGCGCCCGTGCGTGCACCCGTTCGTACATCCATCCGTGCATCCGTCTCTGCGTTCGTCCGTGCATTCGTCCTTGTGTCCGTCCATGCGTCCGTCCATGCATGCATTTGTCCGTGAATCTGTCTGTCGGTCCGTCCATCTATCTAGTGAACACTCTCAGACCTGCCATCTCGCATCTTTACAACGTATATTGAGCATACAAAAGTACCGCCACCCAGCGGACATTCCAAGAACTAAATGAGAGGTGGCACACGCGCACTTTCTTATGGCCTGCGCTTCGTGTCTACTTCCCCCTTTCACCACCTCTAGTTCATGGCTATATACTAGTTCACTATATTCATGGCACTGCGGCCAACCCTGGCTAAACTTTGCTAAAACGAAGGAGGTTACACCCAGCAAGTTTAATGTGGCAACTCTTTCTGGTGAAGTAGAGCTCAAAGTGCGTTCTTCTCATACTAGTTTTTTTTCTAAGCATCAAATTTTAGGCAAAATTTATTAAAGTATAAGTCACTAAGTTATTAAGTCTTTGTAAGTTATTTCATCAGAAACAACTATCTTTATATGTGTCATTAACGTGCGCTGGTTTCCTCCTCAATCGAAACGGGCAAGCGCGTGCCACTCCTCTAGTCCAGCCATGGAGGTGGCTATCTACTGCTACTACTCTTACTACTACATACATCGCGGACGCCCGACCCACGTCATAGGGAGCTTCGCCCCCAAAATGTTTTAAATACGACCAATTTATTTTCATTTTATTTGGGTGTCTCTTCATATCTCAAAAAATTTTGCCCTTCTTGGTCAAAGTACAATACCTTCCTTCAGGAAGATTGATTTTGGATTTGTTTTGACTGCTGAACAGGACCGCTTTTCAGAACCTGTGGCGACAGGGATTACGGTTGTCGTTTCTGTAATTGATAGGAATCCCTGCTGAGGTTGGCGACCAGATAGCAGTTTGCCACCAAACACGCGAACTTCTATAAGAAGCCTCCGCACAATCGTGCAAATTCGATTGTGAAGTTTCACCTTGTCCATAAAAGATCGTTTATTCAATGCAGAAATACCAGTGTACACCGTCAAAAACTCTGTTAGCAATAGTCTCGGAGACTCATTATCTATACGTAGATCACATTGAGATGCAATTACTTTTGATAACCCTTTTATCTGCTTGCACAACACATTCACCAAGCTTGCCTTAGGCAGGCTTGGTGTCGGGAAAAAAATCGTGTTAATATGAGTAATAAAGGGTTTTAAAACAGCAAGAGATCAACGAGGCATCACACAATGCCAATAGCATAGCTAAAGGGTGTAACTAAAGGGCGTAACTTAACGGAGCGTGTTCACGGACTCTAAGGCAGCAATACAGTGTTTGATGTTCGCCTTACGTCGGGGACCTCCTGAACAACTAGTGCTGGAAATTAGAGAGCTGTTTCACCACCTCTTCGACGAAGGACACAGAATCACGTTTCAGTGGCTTCCAAGTCACTGCGGCATATTGGGCAACGAACATGCCGATGCAGCTGCCCGATCAGCACATGAAGATGGTGAAGAAGAATCTATACCATTTTCAAGGACTGATGCTGCAATGACCATCCGAAGTATCGCTAATGCAGAATTAAAACCTCTGTGGAACGCCGAGTGCTTACGGCACACGCGACTGCATAGACTGGACACGTCTCGTCGACTCCGGCCTCCGTCTGGACTCTCTCGGCTCGAGACAACGGTGCTTTACCGACTATGGCTTGGTGTCGCCTTCACCAAAGCTTTCGCCTTCCGAATCGGCATGGAAGACAGTGCTGCTTGCGGTCATTGCGGCAGCGATGAAACTATAGAGCACGTTCTCTGTCACTGCCCTCGTTACAGCGTGCAAAGACGGCAACTAGCTGCTGCGTTAGCTCGCCTTGACGACAGATTTTGTCTGAACAATCAGTGCTGGAAAGACGACATGATTTGTGTGCTCACAGAAAATCAGTGACGGCCTTACTGAACTTTTTGCGTGGCAGCGGTGTATTGTATAAACTGTAGCACCCCATCTCCCCCCCCCCTTTTTTTCCGTGCGTCTATTTCCCTCTTCGCTTTCTTTCTAATCTTTCTTCCCCATTCCTCCTTCCCCTAGTGCAGGGTAGCAAACCGGATGCTCCATTTTCTGGTTAACCTCCCTGCCTTTCCCTCAGTTTATTCTCTCTCTGTAAAGGGTTGACCAATGCTCCAAAGCATTACAAAAGGTTGTTTTTTATCACCTATTAATTATGGCACATACCCACTTCAGTCGTAATTAGACATCGTTGTCATGCACTGCATGAAGAATTTGCACAATGTTCCTTGCAAGTGTTTAGCGGGTATAATGCTTCTCATAGGAATGACAAAAAGTAGCATAGATAATGCTGGGCTACTAGGAAATTATTATTCATAATGCTGCAGTGGGTACCCAGCAAGTGTGCTTGCAGCAGTTACCGAATAAGAACTTCCAAAAGGATCTGAAAAGCCGGTCCTCTAGCTTTCGCTGTGACTGTGCTGCACATTCCGCAGAGGCCGGGCGTGTTTTTTTTACGTCCCACAATCTCGACATAATTATGGGTGACGCAGTGCAGACCCCCAGAAATGATGACCATCTAATATTCATTAACGTACAATTAAACATAACTACGCAAGCCTGCAGCTTTGTCTCTTGAGTTTCACTTCTAAGCAGTAAAAAAAGCGTTTGATACGTATACTCATCACATGCCCACATAATGGCATACTTATTTTCCAAATTGAAGTTGCAGATGAGTAAATTGAGCTAAATTTTAGTGCGTAAAGTGTAAGAGAAATGAAACAGAGAGCTTTAAGTAAAGGTAAAACAGAGAACTTCTTTAATTACTCAGTATAAAAGACGTAATACAGTCCCCAGACTGAAAAAAAACTGTACTGTGCACAAGGCAATGTATAGTATGCAAATTAAAGGACAACCAGGCAAACACTGGAGCTGTAAAGCATTTATTACCAAGAGCCATTCGAAATGAATTAGCAGGAAGAAAGCGATATGGTACGCCAAGATATCGTCTGATGAGTAAATGTTTGTTTTATTATATCTAGCATTGGTAATGGGGCTGGTATAGCTAAAATTCATTATTTCGATATCAATGGACACTCTCAGCTGGATTTTGCCGCTGGCGCCGGCGTTGACGTCAGCGTCAGTGTGACCATGACTCAACCTATATGTATACGTATCTGTGTATATGAAGATGCAAGAAAAAAAAATTCAGTAAAAGACTCCGGCGCGCGGAAGTGAGCTTGAGCCACCTGCATCGTGAGTGCGAGGCCTCAACTACTGAGCCACCGAGGAGCACGTCCTTCCCCGTTCAAACGGTAAGCTATTTATATCTACCACTTACCGTAGCTGACGGGCATTTCAGGGGGGAATCATCGCGTTTTCAGCATTACCAACAAGATGGTGCAGTGAGCGCTCGTCGCCACATCGCGTGGCGGTGCACCCTCACATCATCCACGTGTACTTTGCACCGTTTAGAGGGGGGGTCACACTCCCTTGCGTGCCCTTATCTCGCGGCGGGGAGAATTGTATATCTTGGCTGGCCTCGGGAATTTACCTGCAACGATTCTGTTGTAGCTGCCTGGTGCTCAAATATCACACAATCATTGCAGTCTCCGTTAGCGAAAAGCCCGCGCTTTTCAGACACGTAAAAGTAACAACTGAGATGCTTATTCGCGTGTATCTGTACCTGTGAGTACG